CCAATCCTCCCCTGGTGGCCATGGGGGACCTGGCAACCCTAACTGGAGATGAAAGGTCAAATTGAATTTGTTAAAGGCATTTTGTGGTGGAGCAGTCTTTGCTGCTCTACTGGTTCAGCCGGGAGAGCTCGCCTGCCCCTTGCTGTGGGAGAGGTCCCCCCTGCTGCTGCCAGGTTTTGCCCTTTCCACGCCCCCCCCTACTCTTGTCTGATTGCACTCTCCTAAATGACTGGTGTGAAAAGTCCACTTGGAGTGAAATGCGAGGACAGCGTCCAAGAAATCAGCGAGACTCTAAAGTGCTTACCAGAGGTATTCTGAACTGGTCTGCTCAGAATCCTATTCAGGTCTATTCAGTGCGGCTGACCCCTAGAAGAGTGTCACTGTAATGGTCTGGAAACTCAACCAAGCCCTTCCTTCCAAATGCAGTTCTTTAAGCAGAGCCTAATGTAGGTTTTAAACCTCTGGCTTCTTTGAGATTTTGGCTACAGATCCCCAGTTTTGCTCTGGTACTGTGAATTTGGAGTCTCCCCCCCCCCCCCCGGTTTGGCTGTCACTCTCCTAGAGGTTTGAACAGTGTACAGATCATCGGCTCTAATCCACCACATTTGAGAGATCATAGAGCACTTACATAGAGCAATTGTTCCTCGCACCCTTTGGCCATCCTCTGACAGAGGCTGCGATCCTGTGATGCTGGGGAGGTGCGTTTGAGTGTGTGAGTGGATGCAAAAAGCAGCTACAGCCCCCCCCCCCATGGATCAGGGCTGTGGTATTCCCCCCCCCATGCTATTTGCATTATCAGAAATGCACCCTTGGGTTACTTTTAATTACAGGGAGGGAGGGAAGTCCAGGTACTTTCTCCTGCCCAGGGTTTGCGGCAGGGTGGGTGGAGAGCTTTCCAATCAGGGCAATGGCATAGATTGGTGTGTTAACTCCCCCTTCTCTGCTACTGTGGCCTGACTTGAGATCCAGGTCCTTCTGAATCCGCCATACAGCTGGAGATCTGAATATCGATCCCCCTGTGACAGTAGGACATGCCAGCATACATGCATAACTTCAGATTGTCTGCGTGTGTGGGGAGGGGTTAAATTTCCTCTTTCCAGGGCACGCTGTGGGTGAAATGAGGATTCTGATTTGTGTCAGCCGTGCAAAGCACAAAACCATCCAGGCAATTAGGAGTTCAGAACCAGGACCACCGGTAGTTTTCTTGGATTAATCATGCAGTGTCAGAAATTGTGATGTTACATGCATACCATTAATTCAGTTGGGACAGGCAGTTAAAAGAGATTTTGTCAGTGATAAAGTGTACATTTTGCATGCTGGAGATCCCAGGATTGGTCCCCTGGCATCACCAGTTGAAAAGATCTCCTGTTTCCCTGCTGAGAAAACCCCTGCTTGAGAGCTTGGAAAAACACCATTGGTCAGAGGTGACACTCAGAACTAGAGGGGCTCATTCAGCATAAGATCGCTTCAGTGTGTTCTGACACTTCTCAGAAAGAGAGAAACAACAATTCTAAACAAACTTATCTGAAATTAAAAAATTAAAAGTCTGTGGGACACAGTCTGAAGGAAATGACATGAAGATGATGGCAAAGAGAGGGAGAATAACTGATTCATCCTGAGAGAATCTTCTGACTCTGGAGGGTTCTGGGACGTGTGTGTGTGTGTGTGTGATCAAAAATATCCACACCTTATGGTAAATTTCCGATGAAGCTCTTATTTTCTTGTGAAATGGTAGTTGGTCTGCAAGAATAATTGATCCCTTGTATTTTGCATTGGGAAATGGTAATTTATAATAATTTGTCACTATTTTGTATTTATTGATTATATTTCAGAACAAATATATATTATATATATGTTTGGTATATAAGATTATTTTCTGAGGGTCTGGGGGTTGGTGAGAGGGTTAAAAACCAATGTTCGCTGGTGATGGGAATTAAATTTTTAAAAGAAAATGGAAGTTGTCTCCTTTCAAATTTGACAGATATCCCCCATGTATACATTCTTCGCTCTAAGTTTAGCTTTACATGGTACTCCATACTATGGTATTCATGGTACTCCACACTATGTGTAAAAGTGCACTTTGAAAGTCCCTCTTTTTTTGGCAGTCTTGAGGGTGTAGTTTTATGTAAGGTGCATATTATAAATACATTAACCAGAAAGTTAACGCCACTGAATATGTGTTACAAGCAGGGGTCATTTTGTAGAAAAAGAGCTGCAGGAGCTCATTAGCATAACTTATTAGCATATGCCACACACCCTGACATCACCGGAAGTGTGCACCAGCCCCTCTGACAGGCAGAAGCACCTGGCATCCATTCTTTCCCCCCTCTCCCTTCCCTTCGCCTCCAAGTCGGGCGAAGGAAATGGGGAGGGGGAGGATCTCAGGCGCTTCTGCCTGACAGAGGTGCTGGCGTGCCCACAGCCAGCCTGAGTGAATTATAGAATCATAGACTCATAGAGTGGGAAGGGACCTCCAGGGTCATCTAGTCCAACCCCCTGCACAATGCAGGAACACCAATACCCCACACACACCCCAGTGACCCCTGTTCCACACCCAGAATATGATAAAAAAAAAACCCTCCAGGATCACTGGGGGCCAAACTGGCCTGGAGAAAAATTGCTTCCTGGCCCCAAAGTGGCGATCAGCATTTCCCTGGGCATGTAAGAAAAGGCCACAAGAACTAAGCACTGATGCAACCTTTCCTACTCTACCTCTTGGGATTTGCCTAAGTTCACACAATCAGCATTATGATCCTTTTAAAGTTGAAAGCATGATATAAATACAAAGGACTATTTGTAAGATTATCTGTAAGACACAAGACCAGGACGCATCTCACTTCTGGCAATCACTTGGAGAGACCCTATCACTCAGCTTCCATTGCCCCCCACACACCCCACACTGGAATAAGGACATAGTATCAGGCCAAA